AATGATTCCTAAGAGCCAGAAAACATGTAGAGACGTAAAAAGAACACAGATGATGTAAAATTATTACCAAGAGACAAAGAAACACCACAAAGAGACACAAAACAAAGACAAAAAGACATAAAAACATCACAAAGAGACACTAAATGACCAAAAACAGGCACTAAATGACCATAAAGAGACACAAAACATCAGAAAAAAGACATAAAATGATGAAAAAGAGACACAAAACACCCATAAAACAACACAAAATGACCACAAACAGACACACAAACTCCTCTTTTCCAGGTCTTTCCATTGTCAGAGCCACTAATTAAACATTCAGAATAAGTTCGGTTCCGTCTCGTCAAAGAGTTTCTGGAGAACTTTTACACATTTATACACAAAATTTATTCACAAAACCCAACAACGAACCATCCCAGACGCTCTGCGGGTCTGTTTCCTGATAAAAGACTTCAGAGGTTAAACTCATCACAGGATTCAATAAAAAAAAGAAAATTCACAAAATAAATCTAAATATTCTGGTTCTGAACAAACCAACACGGTGTGTTTTCAGTGTTTATGATGTTTCTGACGTTCAGATTCACCGACTGTTCTGGAATCTGATCAGAAGTAATAATTAAAAAGTGGATTCATCAGGAGGAGTGGGTGTGTTTTATTGTGAAGGAGGCAGTGGAGACAGGAAGTGCAGTTAAACGTTTCTGGATCATTTATAATTGATTATATATTGGTTCTTATTAAAGCAGGAAAATGAAGTCACAAGTTTTACTGTCAGGACAAAAGTAATCCTGTTTATTATCCTCATTTCTATTTTTATACTTTAACAAGTTTTTTTCAGGTCTGATCCTGTTGCATTCTGGGAAACGTAGGATTCTGGGTTTCTGGGGTTTAACAGAGATTTAAATTCAGAATATTCACGTCGCTGCTGCTCAGGTGGAGACGAAGGCCGCATTTATGATCAATTAATATTCAATTAATTTAAATATGAAGCATTTTTAATCAATATTTATCAATTAAACATCAGAAATAGTGAAAAGAAAACAAACATTAACGTCTTATTAGTCCAGATTGTGACATGTTTACATTTTACTTGATTATTAATATATTAAATTGTCATAAAACATTTTTGTTTAACCACAAAACAAACAAATGACTAAAATTCAACATTTTATGAATCGATTCATGGCTGTGATTTAACCATAAATCCCTAAACGAGGCTCAGATCTGTTTTAAAGGTTTAAATCTGTTCCGTGTGTTTATTGGCCTAAAAGCAGCAAAATTTAAGAGATTTATCCAAAACTGACTTAAAGTGATTCGATTTGACCTCAAACTACCAGAGAAGAATTAAAAATGAACATAATAAACGTATAAATGACTTTAAAAGTTCCTTCAATTAACAGAACTGCTAATTGGAAAAAAAAAAGATCATTTTGAAAAAGTCTTAAAAATCATATTGGACGGAAAAAACACAGACGTGAGCTTTTATTCTGACAGATTTAACCCACAACACGTATTTACTGATAAACAAATTCATGGAGCTGCAAAACATTTAGTTAATTTTTATTAATTTATTCATATATTTTACACAGTTATATGTTTATATTTTCTGTCTATAAAAGTTTAAGATAATTATCTATAAAAATAACAGGAAATATTAAATTATTTTTCTGTGAATCACTGACGTCAGTGAAAATTAATGTTTATTAATTAAATGAGAAACTTCAGCTTTAACAGCATTTAGCCTCTTATTCATATTAATCAGTGAATTATTCGGTTAAACTCTTTATTCTTAACATCACATCATAAAAATATCAGTTTGAGCCACAAAATACCCACAAATAAGTTTCTACATATAAGAGTGTGAATGACTGCAGCTCCGAGTCTTATTCTGAAGGCAAAATCTTCTCTACATTCATTTTATTTGTTTATTTAAATGTTTTTTTTTGGCCTAAAAAGCAAGAAATTAGAGAAAAACCTTCTTTACTGCAGATCTAAACATCAATGATGTGAACTTAAACTGTAATATTAAATTAATACACATGGTCATGTTTAATATGTTTATTTGTTTGTTTGTTTATTTATTTGTTTGTGTGAAAGAAGAAAAAGTCTCAGATTTATATATTTAAAATGATCGTTATCAGCCATAAAACCAACGATGTGATGAAACAGATTTAATATCACGACGTGTTTGTTGCACAAATAAACAAACATTTTAGATTTGATCCACATGAAGTCTTATTTTGAAGGCGTCACTACATTTATGGTGTCATTATTATTATTATTATTATTATTATTATTATTATTATTATTATCTGGGTAATAAATAAGAAACAGAACTCACATATTTATCTGAAACTATCTGCAGCTTGTGCAGCTAAAACAAACCCCAGATTTCACGTCTATGATCTGATTTGTGCCACAAAACAATGGTCGTGACAGAAAACGGATTCTAAACAGATTTAAAATGAGTTTATCGTGAACCAGAACATGTTTCTAATGTTTCTCTCATCCTGACGCTGGATGTAAAGACGTCTGCTGGAGGTTTAACGTTTATTTTATTGATTGATTTTTATTGTTTTTTATCTTTATAGACGTTTAAGCAGCAAAAGTTTAAAATGTTCATCTTTTAAAAAAACAATTAGCGCCACAGAAACACAAACATGAGCGCTCACCGTGACAGAAACACTCATTTACTAACTACATGTACAAAAATACATCTAATATTTATTTATGATTATTGTTAAGTTTAAACTTGTCAGTTTAACGTTGTGACCCGACACCAAGACCCAGATCTGATTTAGAAAACTTCTGTAAAAGGATTCAACATCACCTGCTGCCATAAAAAACATTAAACACACATAAACAACCAACAAAGAGACACAAAAACACCACAAAACTGTAGCTGACAATATGTTTAACGTGTGTTTCTCAACAACAAAAGCATTTGTGAAACAAAAATAAAACATTTTAACGCCGTTTATTTTTGCTTTAGCCACAAAAATTATAATTAAAATTAAATGTAAAACACTTATTAAACATAAACATTTAAATTAAACTCTGAACAGCTGCTGGAAGAAAAAACATCTGGATTAACTTTATTATTATTATTATTATTATCATTATTATTATTATTATTAGTGTAATTAATAATCGAGGTCAGACACGTGACGGTGTGTGTGTGTGTGTGTGTGTGTGACTGCTTTATCTACACACACACACACACACACACACACACACACACACACACACACACCCCAGAGACCTCAATACGGCCGTGTTGGGATGATAAATAGCGGGCCGGTAGGCCGCTGGATCGATCCCCCTCCTCCCCCTGTTCGTCCCCCTCCTCCTCCTCCTCCTCCCCCCACCCTGTCCCCCCCTCCCTCTCCCCCTCCCTCCTCCCCCCTCCACAAACACAAAACTATATACGGCAATTAATTCCTGCTTGTCCCTCCATCCCTCATCGGTGCTGCCGGCGCGTATCGACTCAGATTACTGCTGATGGTCCGTTTTATCACCGCGGAATATACAACGGACACGAGCACGCACGCACGCACGCACGCACGCACGCACACAGGCAGCGATGATGAACCCTGAAGTTCCAGCAGCAGCAGCATCAACCTCCGACCTCCCGTCAGAGCTTCAATAGAAACTTGTTTTACGCGTAAAATTATCCAAAAATAAAATAAAATAAAATAAAAACGACGCACACGTGAGAGCAGAACCGGAACCTTTTAAATGATCGTAAACACATTTAAACTGACGTAAATCAGCGGCGATGAAACGCGTTCAGCCACGAACCACGTCAGAAATATAAATAAAGCAAAATACATATATATATATAACAAAGAGGTTATTTTAACAGGACGCTGTCGCGCTTTTTACGCGCGTCTCAGGAGCAACAATCCAGTTTTATAATGTGAAGAAAATGTTCAAATAACCACCGAGAAATCAGCTGTTTTTTTGTGTTTTTTAACGTGATAAATTATAATTATTATTATTACATTGGTGGGAATGAATGAACACAACAGAAGGAGATCTGGTAAAACTCGGCCACAGACCGTCTCCGGGTGTCCAGACCTGCGCTGGATTCCGGCTCCTCGCTGAGTTCATAAAACCCAGAAACGGGCCGCTGAGCTTCGGCTCCGGCGCGTTCAGGCTCCGCGCGTTTGTCTTAAAAGTCCAACGGGACGCCCCGACTGGCTGAAGAAACGCACCTCCGGGTCGCGCCGAGCTGCTTCTAAACGGCGCGTCTTTTACGCATGACGGCGCGCTGTCGATATCCGTCCTCACACACCCAGGGAGCAAAACAAACACCGCTCCAGAGACAAACTTCACCGCTTCACGTCTGTCTTTCCAGATAAATCACAATAAATCCTCTAAAAATAATTATTCTGATTTCAATCGATTAAATAAATAAAATAATTATCTTCGTCTGAAACGGTTCGAATTTAGATTTTGTTTCGCTTTAACTGAAATAAAAACGAATTTAATTAATCGGTGCGTTTCATTAGGTGTTGGTTTGGAGGAAAAACAGGTGCAGAGAAATAAAGAGGCCGCTGGTGTTCCGGACGCAGGCGGGTTCATCTGAACCGAGCTGCTGTCTGGAGGTCTGGACCTCCAGCCGGCCGCTGACCTCCGACCTCTGACCCTCCTCCTGCTCCTCCTGCTCCAGCAGAACATCTGTCAGAGCGGCTGCAACATCTGGCTGCAGCGCCAACATGAAGCTACAAACAGAGTAAACATCTGGTCCGCGATCAGAGGAACCCCCCCAAAAAAATAATAATACCGCAAATTATTAACAATTAATTATCACCTGATTTAATTATGATTTTATCAGAATGTTGAATTAAAGCTTTAATAGATTTATTTTGGGGATTTTTAAATAAAGAATCTAAAAAAACTGCACAGAAATGAATTCAAATGCAGGAAAACGTGAGAAAAAAGAGAAATCCTGGAGTTTTAATTTGATTTTAAGATTTTAAAAAAGAACAAACGTATATTTATGTTGTTTTTTGCTTCACTTCTTTGCATTTATCATCATTTAATGTTAACGTGGAACCGGTTCTGATTAAAAGCCAGAAAACATTTAATTTTCATCCCTGAACACACAAAGTTTCTGCAGATTTTATAGAAACAAGCTGAATGTTTTTGCTTATTTACTAATTAAAGCTCATTTGTGAGGTGATTCTATGCAGACGCTGTCCTGTGATCCTGATCAACGCGACGTAAACACGTTATGGTGAAGAACAAAACCTGCACAGCCTCCTGAGAGCAGAACGATCCGTCCGGTGGAATCAAACGAGCTGCTTTCATCCAACAAATACATTTATTTGGATGATTTTTCCACAGAAACGGAGCCTCGACGTGCTGATAAAAATGTTTAAATGTTATTTACTGGTTCAGGTTCATCGTGGAGACGATTTTACACAAAAACACTCTGATAGTTTCACAACATAAAAACACTTTATGGTAAAAATAGTGTCAGTTTTGCATCTAAATTATAAGTTTAAAGTTTTAATCTACAAATAAAAACTATATTTTAGGACATTTTTGCGTATTTACTCGTTAAAGCTTCCTGCTGAGCTGATTTTACACATTTCAGCTCCTGTAGTTAAACAACATGAACACGTTTTATGGTGACATGAGTGTCGTTTGTGTCTGTTAACAGTAAAGTTGAAGCTCCTGAGCTGCAGGAAACTGTTGAAAATAAAAAGGAGATGATGAGGAGTCGTGGGGTCAAAAGGTCAACGCCGAGCGAGGAGGTGTTGCAGCAAGTGTGTGTGTGTGTGTGTGTGTGTGTGTGTGTGTGTGTACGTACGGTTGTTGAGCTCTCCGGTGTGGTTGCTCAGCGGGATGATCTCCATCCTCTGCTGTCCGTACAGGTAGTAGTCCAGCTCCTCCGACGTCAGCTTGAATCTCGTCGCCGCCGCCTTGCCGCCGTCCTCGCCGCCGCCTCCTCCGCCGCCGCCGCTCTTCACGCTGGACGACACCACCCCCACCCCCCCACAGCTCTGCTCCTTGTGCAGGACCGGGTTGTGGCCCTGCTGCTGGCTCTCCGGAGGGACCACCACCACCAGGTCTCCTCCTCCCGGGGCTCCTCCGGGGCCGGAGCACACCGGGGCCAGCGCCTGGCCGAAGAGGGCGATCTGCTGGGGGACGGGCAGCTGGGAGAGCCCCGCCGAGGCGGAGATGGAGATGGAGGAGGACGGGGTGAGGGCCGCCGCCGAGGAAGAGGAGGACGCTGCTGAGGACGTGGAGGAGGAGGAGGAGGAGGAGGAGGAGGTGCAGTGCGTGGAGGCCAGGAGGTGGCTGTGCAGGCGGGACGGGCGCAGGGCGTCCACGGGGATGGAGAGGCGGTCGGGCGGCGGCGGCGGCGGCGCCAGAGGAGCCTTCAGCTGAGCCTGAGGGAAGAGCTGCTGCCAGTGCTGCAGGTAGGACGGGTCCACCTTGAGGAAGGCCGAGCCGCTCGGGTCGCCCGGCTTCAGCATGGTGCTGCTGCAGACAGACAGTCGGTCAGAATCACACAACAAGTGGCTCACACCTCACTCACATCTCCAACAGCTGGGCTACAGGAACAACCACCTCTCTGGTGTTTAACTGACACCAAAACCCAAAACTCAAAGTGTGCTTGAGTCAAATTCAGCCTGAAAGCTGCAGCGACACGATCCGGCCTTTAGCTCTCGTCTCTGTTACACCTGATCCAGAGTCCAGCTCTCAGCTTCACGTCCACGAGCTGCTCAGACGTTCAGCCGTCGTGCTGATCATTAAACATCTGTCCAGGCTGGACTTCTGACACATTCTAGAAACCACCAACGCATGAACATCACAGACGTGTGAATAACGTTTAACAGTAAATTAAATGAAAGTTTCTCTCCTCAGACGAAGCTCGTCCACGTCTGTGTTACAAACTGACCCTCAAACTGTTTTTATTCACTGATCTGCGTTTTCACATTTTATTCTTCAGCCTGAGCTCGTAAAGATAAATTTAGACGAAGAGTTTCTTCTTTAAATTTAGATTTTTTATCGTAATTACAAATATCAGCAGCAGAGGTTCATGTTCTAGATGATCAGTCTGTTGGGTTCCGGCTGCAAACGCTCAGTGTTGGATTAAAGCAAAAAACAGACTGAAGCTCTTAAGTGTTTCTATTTCTAATAAATTCAGTGGATGAATAAAAACCTGCACATCCTCTGATTTAAGGATTATTATTGAGGAGCTGATTAAAAAAAAATAAAAGCTAAATATTAAAGAGGAAAAAACAGCAGAATTAAAAGTCTGGTTTCATAAAATTATCTCCTGACTTCAAGGTTTGTTTGTTGCTTTTATCCCTCAAAAAAGAGTTTATTTTAATATTTTATTTCCACATAAACTGAGTCTCAGTCCGCTCATAAAACCGCGTTTAAATGTTATTTCTGGGATATAAACTGTAAAACCCATAAAGCTGTCAGCGGCTCGGACCCTCCGCTCCTGCCCCGCTCCAGCCCGCTCCAGCCCCGCTCCTGCCCCGCTCCAGCCCCGCTCCTGCCCCGCTCCTGCCCCGCTCCGCTCCGGGGCTCGTTTCGGATTTTACGCACAAAAAAAAAACAACCAAAACCGAAACAAAAAAAACGCGCCGAATAAAAGCGACAGAAACGCGCAACACTTTGGATCAGTGCAAAAGTTTCACGTGGATAAAAGTGCGGCAGCCGGTCCGGTAAGTCCAGGGGAGGCTCGGCGCTCCTGTGTCCGGGCGGAGGCGGCGCTCGGCGGGGCAGAGACGCGGCGGGGCTCCGCGGGGTTTCCTCCGAGTCCCCTTCACGTGCTGCGCGTGTTTGTACTGAAATGTGAAAGTTGCGGAGGAGGCTTACTGCTGTCAGAGAGTGTGCGGCTCCTGCGCGCTGGTTTCCGGGCAGCGGTGGAAGCTTGCTCCCTCCTCCGGGCTGCGGTGAACCATCGAGGGGAGCCGGGACACTTCGCTGCGTCCTGCGCGTCTCCGGAGCCAAAACTAGCGGAGCGGCCGCTGCGCGTCTCTGCCTCCCCGCCTCTCTCTCCTGCGTCCACTCAGCCTCTGCCCTCCTCTCTCTCTCGCCCTCCCTCTCTAACGCGTCGCTGTCATTTCTCTCCACACTTTTCTCCTTTTTCAGCCTCCTGTCGCTCCTTTGCCGCCTTTTTTCTGCCCGTTTCGCTTCATTCAAATGAACTTTATTGACACAAATGTTAATATTTCTGCTTCTCTGTCCAAAACTAACGGATCGTTCTCCTGAGACTGACTCCGGTTTACAGGAAACCGTCACACATTTGTGGTTTTATTCTCCATCAGTGAGATTAAGGCTCCTCTTCAACACACGTGGACATAAATTAGCATCTAAACTTGGAGAAGAAACAACAAACTTGTCCAGAGACCTTCTAATCTTCTCCTACAGTGTCGTCGTGGTAACTCAGCGGTTGTATTTCTGATTGAAATCTGTGACTTTATGCTTTAAATCACCGTTTAAACAACATTTAGATTCTAAAACAGAAGAACCCAAATCACATGCGACCAGAAAACACATCAGGACGTCCATTTGTTCCTCACAAACGTCTCCTCTGAACATCTGGAACAACATCTCTGCTCCAGGCCTTTAGTGGAGCCTCGACTCCAAAAACCTTTTCCGTTCTTCTGAAATGAGTCAAGATTCAAGAAGACGAACTGAGACGACCCAAACCTTCACTACGAAACGTTTTCACAAATCTGTCCCCAAAATCCAGTGAACTGCAGACGTTTGGCTCTCAAAGAACATTTAGAACCTAAAAACCAGGACCAGGACCAGGACAATCATCACGACGTCCATCCAGGAAAACGTCTCTGAACATCTGGACAACGTGTTGAGGCAGCAAATCACAGATTAGATGCAGGTTGCAGACACACTGAACCTCTCCATCCGTCCATCTCAGTGTTTGTGGTGTTTAACCCACAAATCTGTCCAAGAACACCGATTAAACCAACTATACGTCATAATCTGACATCCAAATAACAATTAGAACCTAAAACATGCAGCCATGACCCGTATTTGGTCGAACAGAACCATCAGGACGTCCATGTTGGACCTCAGAGACGTCACATCTGGAACAACACATCTGTTCTGGAGGATCTAAACAGACTTTGGAAGTCATTTAGTCTAATATCTGTAGAATGTTCTTCACCTAAACTGTCCTTGTGGCTCCTCTGAGGACGTATTTTTTAGTCGTATTTATAAATCATAATCTCAGGACGCTTCACACAGTAAAGTCAAGTTCTTGGACATGAAGGTCCAGAACCTGCTGATGCTCAGCGTTCTCCTGTAAATCCACCACCTGGACCACAGTGACCCCCGATCAGCTGACTGAAAGCTGAATGTATTTATCTGCCATTCTCCTACATAACAACTTTAGCTATCGTAGACCAGCTGTAGTACCCGGTTGTTCCACCAGGTGTCGCCTCCTACTGTTTAACGAGACGGAGTTACAGGTGTGTTTGCTGACTGACTCTGAGGGTCCATAAAACAAGCGCACCTCCTTGTGGTAGCGTCGATGAACTCTTCAGCGTCACATTGTAAAAAGATGTCTACCTGCTGTCCGGTTTAGCTAGCTACCTGTCAATCGTGCTAACAATGCTAAGCTAGGCATTACTGGTTGTTCCACCAGGTGGAGCCTCTTCCTGTTTAATCCTGTAGGGACCAGAGGAGGCGTCACTCAGACTACGGCTCATGTTGGCAGCAGAGAGCATTGTGGGAGGTTAGCTAGCAAGTGTCAACGTGTTTCAGACGAGTTTGGAATCGTTTTGGACGAGTTTAAAGTCATTTCAGACAAAACTTTTTTTGTGGACAATTCAATTGTAAGAAAATATGAACAAGTTTTGTGGATTTTAGACCAACTTTGAGTCGTTCTGGAGAAGCGTCAAGATGTTTTCTGAAAGTTTTTGAGTTTAGCTGTAGTACCTGGTTGTTCCACCAGGTGGAGCCTCTCACTGTTTAGTCCTGTAGAGACCAGAGGAGGCGTCACTCAGACTAACTGGGACAGAGTTCGTACATCCAAGTCGTACATTTGACTTGATTCAAGGCCGACGTCGTGTCCGCTGACAACAACAGCCATGTTTGTAACAACTTTATTCGTTTAGCGCCTTAAACAAACAAAGTGAAAACGCTTCACAACGAAACAAAGATCGCAAACATGCAACAAGAACAGCGAATGTTTATGTGGCTGGTGTTAATAAAGGAAGCTAACGGGACGAAACCCTGCAGGTGAGGCTCACTGTGCTGAATTTGTGTTATTGATTAACTGATTATTGATTGATAATCAAACCCAGCTTCCTGCCCCGCACCGTGCTCTCCCGTTACGACACCGGTGTGACGGCGGGTCGGGTTTAGGTTTGTCCAGATGCTGATCCTGACCTTTGAAGCCGGATCAGGAGATCTCCTGCTTCATTACATATACGGGGTCAGTGGTGAGGAGGGCTGCGTCTAAAGCCTGGTTCACACCCGCATGAGGAAGATAGAAGTTGTTTTACAGCCTTTGTTGCTTTCTTATTGTGCAGATAGCGGGTTATTCTCCTCCATCATCACTGGGGAACTCCGGAGCCGTTTGTTTAACGGAGATAATCGGCGCTGCAGCGGTTCTGCTGTTGTTGCTGCTGTAGGTGGTCGTCCTGCCGTCAGCTCACCTCTCTCCCTGTAGAGTGTGTGTGTGTGCAGATAAGACAGATTAGAGTCCAGCTCATTGTGCTTCGGGTCGGACTTGTTATCCACGACCTGGAGCTTTCCCACCCGGAGCCCGTGAAGCCGGCGTGGATAAGAACTCCGGGCCGAACCGGCGAGTTGTTATGACTGGCGTCGCCCTGACAGGCCTCGTTTGTCATCCTCGGCTGGATTGATAACCAACGAAAACACAAACACAAGCGTCTGAAAACGAACCCTCGTCGGCTTGAAGCGACTTTTTCAGGAATGTGGAGCAACAACAAGCCGCCTGATTGGCTGAAGGGCGACCGGCAGGGTTGCTGGTTCAAAGCTCTGCTGCTGTAACGCGACTCGAGCTTCACCTCATAGACGATGATTCATCATCACACGGAGTTTTATTAAACCAAACCTACAAAATCTTTACTTCACACTTCACTAAAAATGCAGTTTTTAAAAACTGGTAAAAGAAAAAACTAAAAAAGTGAATTTTGTGACATCACACAGCGTCTGTTTTCATTAGTTTATGGCCTTTTTCTGAGGAATCAGATGTCAGTCGGAGCTGAAAAATACCATCTGAAGAGTCACATTTCTGATACCACAGTAATTATCATGTGACACTACACTGTAAAAAATAATTAGTAAAAAATGGTAGTAATTTGACAGCAAGGACTCCAGAAAAAAATAAAAGGCTAAAATACCGTAATACTGAAAACTGTAACTCCAACAGCAAATATCTGAAAAATTAGGACATTTTTAGCTCATTTTAATAACAGTAAAACAGTGCGGTGTTTAATTTCTACAGTTACTGTCAAGGACTGAA